GGTTTCATCTACAGAACGTAAGATTTGATTTAAACAAGTAAATACATATTTGCCTAGGTTGCCCTTTCCGAATGCTGGCTTGAGAGTGAGGCTGCCTGTGAGATGTGAATGTGATGCTTGCCTTGGTGATACCTGCACTGGGTGACCTCACCATTGCTACTGGAGAACATAGTCCTCAGCGGAGTATGATAACCCTCAGGAAACAGTCACAGGCTATGCGAGGAGAACCGCAAACGCCCCTGGGGAACAGCAAGACTGTTTTAGTTGGTGTTTACAGTTTTCCTTCCCAGCCAAGTCTCTGAGGATAAAAAGCAGATTTTGTTTTGTTATAATTTGTCTACTCACTGTCAAACTTTCAGGACAAACTATACACGAGACTTCTTGAGAGCAAGGGTGCTCTGTTTTCCATTATAATTTTAGTCACAAAATTCAGAGCACCAAATCTAAAGCCCTCCCCCAAAAAAGAAGAGAAATTACATTTTTTCACATTTCCTAATGATAAGTTTCTCCTGAGAAAGAGAAGAAAACATTTCATTGTTTAAAAAACAAAAACTGAGCTGAGCGTAAACCAAGCATTCTGGGAAGCTGAGGCAGGAGGATTACAAATTGGAGCCCAGCCTGGGCAATTTAGCAATTTAGGGAGACTCTGTCTCAAAACAAAAAATATAAAAGGGCTGGAATGTAGCTCAGGGCAAAGGCCTTGAGTTGAAACTACAGTACTAAAAACACACATACACACACAAACCTGGGGGTAAAAGTAGAAAGTATATTGTGTCCTTTGATAAAAGGTCAACATATCAACTAAGGATTTCCCTACATTAGCTCTCAAATTCAGCTTAATTCTAATAATAATACACATGTATTTTAATTTGATAAACTCAATGAAAAAAGAAAATACAATTTGAAATGAAACAGCAAAAGTACAAACTTTCTGAAGTAATAGTGATGATCAGAGGAGACTGACCCTTACTATATATTAAATCAATTATGAAGCTACACTCTTACACATACTATGGTCTTGCCATGTGCAAATAATGATAGATTAACAGAATGGAATGTAAATAGGAGAAATAAATGTAAAGGTGTTTAATAAATAGTTCATAAAAATGACACCTTATGCCAGGTATAGTGACATGTGCCTACTCAGGAAGCTGAGGCAGGAGTATTGCTTGAGCCCAACAGTTCAAAGCCATCCAGAAACCACAACGAAACCAATAAATATGTATGTGACACTTTAAATCAGCTGGAAAAAGAGTATTCAACAAAACATATGGGCACAAGCAGATAGCCATCTAGGAGGAAAAATAACTTGGATTCCTTACTTTATAAACTACATTAAGGAGATGCCAGATGGTCAAATATTAAAACATTAGAAATAAAGCATTGAGAAAACTTAGTCTTCGAGCAGAAAGGTTCTTTCTAATACTGACACAAAATTTAGAAGTTATTCTATGTGCAAAAAAAAAAAAAAGATCAAAGCCAGGTGTGGTGGCACACACCAGTAATCCCAGCACTTGGGAGGCTGAGGCAGGAGAATCACTGTGAGTTCAAGACCAGCCTGGGCTACATAGTGAGTTCCAGGTCAGTTTCAACTACATAGTGAGACCAAGAACAAATGAAAATAGTATGTTCAATAAGTGCCCAAAAAGTCTAGTTTTTCTAATATCAGGAACTTCTAGGCATCTATATGAAAAATTTAAAAACAAGAAAGGATAGAAGCAGACAAGTTAAAGAAAAATAATGTAAACATCTTTTTAAAATTTGAAAAGACCTTCAACGTAAAAATAATTTTTAAATGCTAAGTAAAACTTTCTGAGCTCCTATCTCTCTCCTATGTGATTGGAAAAATATCAAAGCTTTGATAGTATACTGGGATGACAAACAGAGACCCACATACTACATTGCTACAGATGATGTTGTAAATGGCCCAGCCTCTGTAGAGGTAATATCAAAATTATCTATCAAATTTTTTGACCCATATGTTCCACTTCCTGGAATTTATCCCATGGATATATTTGTAAATATACAAAATATTTTTCAACTTTTATTTTTTATTAGTACATGTTTGCAGCACATAATGATTACATTAATTGTTGTTCCATCCCCTCTCCCTCTTTTCTTTTCCCCTTCTTTCCATCTCTTTGTCCCCTTCCCTTCTGCCAAAGAGCTATCTCCTTATTTCTCATTATCTAACTCTTATTTTGCTCTTTATTTATATTTTGGTTTTGTCATATAAAAGAAAATGTGCAATATTCAAGCATATTTGTTGATTTATTTCACATAACATTACGGGGGTCAAGATACACCCATTTTCCTACAAATGACTCAAATTTATCCTTCTTTATGGAAGAGTAGTACTCCGTTGTATCTAAATGTCACATTTTCTTTATCTATTCATCCACTGATGGAAAGATCTTCACTGTAGCAGTGTTTGTATTACCAAAATCTTGAAAATTTCCATGCATAGGATATTTTAGTGAATAAATGACAAAACAAGTAAACCATAGCACACACTTGCTTGTTTTCTGTCTCACTAACAAATCTATTTTGTTGATCTGTTCCCCAGACCCAAGAGAATAATCTTGAAGTGTCTAAGTCAATGATGGTTGCTGTGGTTTAGATCTAAAATAGTCCCTAAAGTCTCATTGACTGGATTATAGGAGTCCCATAGCTGGCTTGCTGTTAGGAGGTAGAACCTGGCTGGAGGTGAGTCACTGGGGGCATGATCTGGAAGGCTGTATCTCCCTCCCTAGTTTGTCCCTTCTCTCTGCTTCCTGGTCACCATGACGTGAGCATCTTTCCTCCACTAGACCTTTCCAGAATGCTGTTTCTGCATTTGAATTTACTAGCTATGAATGGAAACTTCTGAAACTGTGAGCCAAAATAAACCTTTACTCATTCATGTCACAACTATCATATATTTTTCCACAATGACAAGAGGCTAGCAGCAGTCATTCCATTCTCCCCATTAAACTATAAAAGATCCAGACCTCAGCCTCCTTGCAAGGAACTGAGTAGCTGGGGAATAAGAGCAAGAAGGAAATTTATTTTTCAATAAATATCCTTTTGAGTTCTTTGAATTTAGTCACATGGACAAGTGTGCACGAATAAAATACATAGTTTTTGTTTTGTTTTGTTTTTTTGTGGTACCGGGGATCGAACTCGGGTCCTTACGCTTGCGAGGCAGACCACCAAACCGCTGAGCTAAATCCCTAGCCCACATAGTTTTTAAATAATGCCACTATCCATTTTTTAATTAAAAAACTGGAACATAATGCTCAAGGTTTTTAAGGCAGTAGCTGAAATAAAATGTAAACTGATATTATTCTATAGCATGAGCAAATTCCAACCTTTTTAGATACATGGTTTACTGTTATTTAACATCATTACTTGTTTAGTGAATATAGAAGACTTTAGATTTTTAGAGGCTGGTCACTCAATCAGGCACACAAGTTCCAGTTCTGCCTCTGACTTAGTTCAGAGACTGCCAGGTGTGGTGATGTGCACCTGTAATCCCAACACTCAGAAACTGAGGCTAGAGGATCACTATGACTACAAGGCCAGCCTGGGACACACAGAGAGCTCAAGGCCAGCCTGGAATACATAGCAAGACTCTGTCTCTCTCTCAAAAAAAAAAAAAAAAAAAGAATATTTGAGACTGAGCAGTTTGTAAAAATACCAGAAATGCACTTTTCAGAGTTCTGGAAGCTGAACATTCAGTCTCAGGTCATTAGCAGTTTCTGTTGCCCAGGAAGGAATAATCTCAGCTTCCAAGACGGCAGCCGGTTGCTGCCTCCTTCATATGAGAAAATTCTGTGTTCTCACAGGGCTTGGGTGCAAAAGAGTAGTTCCACTCCAGCAAGGCCTTTTCATAAAGACACCAAGCCACTTGTGGGGGAGCCTTAGTATCACCCCCATAGACCTCACTTCCCAATGCCATCATCGTGGTGATTAGGTTTCAATGTGAATTGCAGAGGAGACATCATATTCAAACCACAGTGGTCTCAGCCACCCTTCACCAGTTATGTGACTGTAGACAGGAAATGTGATTGTCTCAGTTTACTCTCCATCAAACAGGCTACTAATGAGTCTCAGGGTCATGAGACTTCTGATAGTTTGAATGAAATAATTGAGATAAAGCACTCAAGCCCTGTGCTAGGCTTTAATGGGTGCTCTAGTGGATGTTGTTAGTTGGGATACGCTCATTTAATTCAGACTTAAGTGAATTTGGGAGTCAATATTTGGGGAATTTTTCAGCATTTCTTGAAATAGAAACATTGCACCATCAGTCATAAGACTAAGACTAGGATAATGCCTTTTTGAATTAACAAATGAAGACTATTCCAGGCTGTGTTACTCGCACTGAGATCTTACCTGAACACTGAAATTACCTAGGAAGTCTTTACAGCTACAGTTTTTCCAGTGGATGCCTTGAGTCCACCTTCAGAAATCTGATTTAATGGTTTGGGCTGCAGAACAGGATCTAAATTTACCAATTTCCTCAGGTAAGTCTAATGTGTAGCCAGTTGAGAACCCTAGACCCTTTATTAAGGTCACCTGTTTATAAATAAATCTTAGATATTTTGAGGGATTATCCATTCCCTTACAAATTAGAAGTTTGCTTTTCATTTTTTAAATCTTCCTTTTAGTCTCCCTAAGTGCCTTGACGAATTTTTATCATTGCTATTGACTGATGGACTGCTATATTTGCCATCTTGAACAGCAGCTCCATTCTGGCGGTTCTCCACTTGGGCTCTTTCCTCAGGTAGTTGACCTGCTTACCGAGGATCCCAGTCAGACGTGGCACACTGGCCACACAGCCATTGCTCCTTCTGCAGGCAAATATCTCAAAAACTGGTTGAATGCCTGCCACAACAGTCATCTTCCCTTTTATTTCCCTCTTGTTCCTATTTATTTTCAACTTTGAATAGATTAAATAGTGATATGCATGAAACTGTACCAAGTAGTAACTAACTACAGAATTTTGTTTTTGCTTTCAGATATTTAAGGGAGGAATGCGATTTTGGAAAAAGAAGGTAGGGTTTGAGGTCAGGACATGGGTTCAAGTCCCAGACTGCCACTTATCATTGGGGAGAAACACTGCAACATTGCTAAGCCTCAATTTGCTGATTCATAAGTTAATAATAATATAAGGTTGTTGAGATAATAAGATCATATGCATTAAAATGACTATAAAATATAATTCACTTTTCAAATGCTTATCATTATGATAATGAAAATAATAAAGATTATGATATGAAAACCTTATGCAACTTATTAAATTGAGTCTACACAATAATTACATAGCAATGCTCATTCAGAACAGCATAATTTCCTTACATTCATCCTTCTTGTTTCTCTAATCTATCAGATTCCACATCCCTATAACCCGATTACCTTTATTCTCAACACTACTTATAGGACTAAAATTTGTCATCTAAATCAAAACAGGCATGTCACTATTGGCATACTCCTTTTCAACAGTTTCCTCTTTAGAAGGGAGATAAAAGGTACAGCCTCATTCATTCATTCTGCAGGTATGTGTTAAGAACTTCCAGGTGGCAAGCACTGGCAAGAATTTGTGGTTGATGAAATAACCGGGACAGGCATCAGTAGAACTTAAGTCTAGCAGAGAAATGTAATAGGTACTACAGCTGGGAAAGATAGCGATTATTAGCAGGGACCTCACACAGTCCAGGGTTAGAAAAAGCCACCTTGGGAAAAGTTAAGTGTAAGGAATTAGCCAACCCAAATGGGGCCAGACAGGGTTTGATGCTCAGGCATGAGGAACAGGGAGATCAGGGTGAGAGCAAGAATACAGTAACTGGAAGATGGTCATTGCAGTTGGAGAGAGGGGAAGTGGCAAGAAAAGAAGCTAGAAAGGCAAACATGAGCCATAAACCTTGACACCTCCTTCAAGGTATTTGGATTTTATCTAAAGGCATTGGGAAATCATTATGAGATTTGAAATATGATCAGATTTCTAGGGGTTTGTTTGTTCTATTCCCCTTGTTTGATTGCAATGTGGAGCATGTGTTTGTGGTGAAGATGAAGGAGCAATGATTCTAGATGTCGTACCCCTGAAAACAAGTGTTTGTGACCAGATCCTGTGACAAATGGATTTGAAGAGATATAGAAGGGAACAATTTTTGTAAAATGCAAATCTGATAGTGTCACTTCCATAATTGAAACTCTTCAAATTTTTCCCATTGTTCTTAGAACAGAATTTCAGAATTCTTAACATGGCCTAAAGGGCCCTTCATGTTCTGTTTCACCCTCTTTGTTACTTGTCTATACCATGATCTTTGGACGCATGTAACTTGCCTAGAAACTTCATTCAGGACTTAACTGGTTGGCTCACTGCTGTGTTCGGATAGCAACAAACTACTGCAGTGAGTGACAAGAGATGTGTAGGAAGTCACATCAATAGGATTTGGAGGGGAGAATGACAGAAAGACTTCAGGACAAAACAAAGGTTTATGGCTTTAAATAAGTGGTTGGTTGGGGGAACAGACAGAGAAGAGGTAGAAAAGATGGTACAATGTGGCTTACATTGAATTTGAGATGGCTGCAAGTTATCCGAGCCCACATGCTAAATAGGCAATTGGATACAAGTACTTTAACACCTGCCAGATTCTGGGCTAGGCAGTTTCCCATATATTATCTCATGTAATTAACTAAAGCCAAATGTAAATAGAAACAATTAACTATGTGATCTAATTTTAAGGTAGGCTCTACATAAATTATGTTAATACAGACACTACGAATAGCCCCACACCTATTCATCTAGGGAAATGAGCAATTTATCCTGAGGAGTTAAAAAGTGCCTGATGATTTGAGTCACTTCATTTCCAAAGTATCCCTGTAGCACAATTATGGGAAGACTTAAAGAACAAAACAAGTGTGAATGAGTCGGTGAATAAGTTTATTTCCATGGAGCAGTTTTAGCTTGTCCTGCTCTTTTATATGAATAATTATGGAGCCAGATCATTTTAAATCAGCCCAATAGAGACAAAGAGGGAAATCGCCTACCACTCCTACCTCTAAAAACCCTCCTCCCTCCATGTTGCTTTCTAAACCAATTTCCCTAAGGGTTTCCCTTTCCTGCTTTTGGCAAGGCATGAAAAAGTCTTCTCCAGAGTTTTTATATTCTATGCATTTTTGCCATATGTGTAGGTGCAACATTCTCCATTTAAAGACACATTTCCACAGTATCCTCCAAGACTTCAGACTCTCAGCAAAAGAACTAAAATCTTTGCTCAGAAATGTATTTTAGAACAGTGTCTCTTTATGTGCAGTCTGTAGCCATGTGTATGGGAATCAACAGAACTCTTTTCTTAAAACACAAGCTTAGATCCATTAGGCCAGATCACCCAAGCATTTCATACTGGGGGGTCCAAAAATCTGCATTTCTAAACACTTGCTCAGCTGATATCCATGCTCACTGAAGTTTGAGAATTTGAATAATTTTTTTAAAAGATAGATAATGCCCATTATATATTTTCTTATCAGAAATAATATGGAATGCTTTCTCATAGAAAATATACTATAAAGGTGAATATAACATAATATAATAATGAATACATTAAATAGAGATCTAAATCTTCATGTAAAAACAAGAAACTGCCATTTTTAAAAAAGAGGTTTTAAAGCCCAGTGTGGTGGCACACGCCTGTAATCCCAGCACTTGGGAGGCTGAGGCAGGAGGATCAGTGTGAGTAGAGACCAGCATGGGATACATAGTGAGTTCCAGGTCAGTCTCAACTACATAGTGAGACCCTGTCTCTAAAAAATAAAAATAAAGGTAAACCTAACTAAAAATGGGCACTTTGCAATGAAGATGTCTCATTTAGAGGAGGAAAGACACACACTGCAAAGGAATTCCCAGGTGATGAGGGTTTTGTTTCTAGTCTGTGGCTGATTTTTCCTGTTTGCCCCTCAGTAAATGCCTCTCAATGACTGTTCTTGAAAGGTACAACAGAATTGATTCAATGAATTAAACTCTCAATTTTTGGCCACAAACCTTTATTCAGTGCTTTAATATTTGTATCATTACTCATAGAAAAATTATAGTGTTTATCTATTGATATTACAGTATAACCTTATAAAATCATATATATAGAAACAACATAATTTTTTTCATTTTATATTTCATATAATTTTTTAAATAATTCAAGTAGTGATGTTGCAGAGTGGTTAAAACTTTTGTCTTCCAAGATTTATCTATTTATAAATGCTGTTGTTTGAAAGAAGCTGAACAAGTGGAAATATATTAAACGAGACTTTTGCTTATTGTGTATAATTTGAATCTCTTAAATTTGAAAAGGAAAAGAAAAAAATCATTTGTGTGAACAGTTTTTATTTTTACAAAGCTGCAGTCTTTTTTTAATTTCAGATCCTAACAGGTTAACTTTCAAGTATTTATCTTTTGCAAAATAAGTACAAAATTGAATTATCCCTCAGTTAAACATAGGTAAGAAGTAACAGACAGTGAACAGAAGAGAGATACATATTATGCATGCAAAGAAAATTAAAACTTGGGATGTTGGAAGGGTGTGCTTTGATGTACAAAAGAACCATTGTTAATGTGGGACAAAACCTCCCCAGTATGGAACAGAGATAAAAAGGAGGGAGTTTCTAGCAGATCAAGGTCAACTGAGATATGTGAATAACATAAATGCTATTAATCTAGTACCGACTGAATCACGGGAGTTCAGCAGGGTCTAGTTATGTAGCAGAGTTCGTGGCAGGAGGGTTTTATGTCACTTTGTATTAGATAATGAGCATATTCATCAAGATTCCTAAATACCATCCAAACTGGCATAGAAGAAGCTTTAAGGAGCTTGTGAGGACAAATCAAAGAACTAGATCTGAAGCCCAGAAAGGTAAAAGGGATGTTCAAACAGTGAAGGAAGTTTTGATACTTGCAGGCAACCATACAATCTCACTCTGCAGGAAATAGCGTGAGAACGGATTTCTTAGTGGGATTGCTAGCAGCTTATTATGTCTAACGTCGCCTCACTCATTATAGTTGCCTCATTCATAGTCAGAAAAAATGCAGACAGTATTACCTTAGAAGACTGTATGCTAAAAAACATAGAGTTTCTTCCTCCTCTTCTTCCTCTTCTTCTTCTTCTGCCTCTTTCTCTTTCTCTCCCTCTTCTTCTCCTCTAACTCATTTAAAATACAAAATGAACCGTGTCTCCTTCCTTCAGGGAGATATCACATCACTAAATAAGTACAGTTCTGTATTCTCAGATTCAAATCTGCCTAAATATTTCAGTCACCTTTAGTCTAAGTCTTACAGTAAAAATATATACAAAAAAACTGGAGCCATATCTTTTGAAGAACTGAACAAATTATGAAGAACTGAACAAAAGGAAAGGACAGGAAAAGAAAAGAAAAAGAATTGAGAAGAAAAAAAGAGGAATAGTAACTGATAATAGTAGACTAATCTAAAGGAAAAATAAATAAAAAAGTAAAAGTAAGGAAATAATACAAGATTCATATTTAACAGTAGACTAGTAATACTTTTTTTTAAAGGATTGCTTTTCAGTCAGTGCAATGGGCCCATGAGCCTTACTGAATATCTCAAAGAACAAGTGTCCTAAACCAGGCGTGGTGGCGCATGCCTATAATGCCAGCACTCTGGAGGCTGAGGCAGGAGGATTGTTTTGAGTTGGAAACCAGCCTGGGCTATATTGTGAGGTCATTCCAGGTCAGTCTCAACTACATAGTGAGACCCTATCTCAAAACACATGCACACACACACACACACACACACACACACACACACACACACACACACAAAGAAAAGCATGAACTAGAAGTTTGGACCTTGAATGACAACTTAATTTGAATGCAGCTGGCAACATATACTGAGTTCCTAGGACATAAGCTCTATTTCAACCACATTGCTTCACTTATTCAACAAATGTTAAGTGCCTTGAATGTACCAGGTTTTAAAGATTTATAGTAAACAAGGAAGTCATAATTCTTGCCCACATAAAACTTATCAAGACTGATGTGCATGGTTACAGTAGGATAAAAGGTATTCTTCAAAAATTAATGTTGGAATTTAATAATATGATCTTATTTGGAAATGTTTTTCTTTGTAGCTGTAACTAGATAAGGACTTTTAAGTGGTTCTGCATTTAATCCAATAACTGGTAACCCAATAAAAGGAGAAGGCACAAGAGACAGATAAGGAAGTGATGGAAGATGGGAGCCGATATTGAAGAGATAAGTCTACAAACCAAGGGACGCCAAGGATTGCTGGCGGCCCCCAAAGGCAAAGGGAAAATTCTGGGATGTATTTTCCTGAGAACCTCCCCAAAGATCAATCTTTTGTTCCCAATCTTTATTAAATTTATTGGTACAGTTTAGGTGTGTGATACAGTTACATTCATCACTGAGATCTTGTACAAGACTCCTCTTGGTTCTTATTTTTCCACATTCCCCAGCCATCCCTTCATCCCCTCCACCCTTCCCTGTTTACAAAGACATTGTTTCCATGTTTTTCCTTTTTACATATTTTTTCTTTTCCCCTACCATGTTTTTCTTTTTACCTTTTCCCTACCGTTCCCACTTCCCCTACTCTTTTAGACCTTTTCTTCCTATTACATAATATCAATTATACATTTTGATGCTTATTTACACTTTTAGTTTTCCACAGCAGAGAAACTATTTGGTATTTACACAGAGGTGTCTTCTTAATTTCATTTAAGAGTATGGCCTCTATATACATTCACTTAGCTATAAATGTCTCTAGTGTCTCTTTCTTTATGGCTAATATTCCATTTTATTAAAAAAAAAAAAACCTGAAACACAAAAAACACGCACATCTTCTTATCCAGTCTCCAGTTGATGGGCAATTGGGCTGTCTCCAAATTGTAGCTATTATTAAAGTGTGCCATTATAGACATGGGTGAGCATATATCTCTGTGGTATGACTCTTTTAATTCTTTTAGGAAGATATCCAGCAGAGGGACAGCTGGGTCAAATGGAACCTCTAATCCTTGTTCTTTGAGGTATCTCAATACTGATTTCCACAGTGGTTGCACCAGTCTGTGCTCCCACCAACAATGGAGAAGGGTTACTATCTCCCCACAACTCTGCTAGCAAATGCTAGTTTTTGTTTGATTTCTTGATAGCAGCCATTCTTTCTGAGGTGAGGTGAATTTCAGACTTTCTGGCCTCTAGAACTGGAAGATAATAAATTTCTATAGCCTCAAGTCACCAATCCGTCATGGCAACACTAGACAACTAATATAATGGTGAAGTAAGTTTCTACAAAAAACAAACACCCAAACTGAAGAGTCCCATGTCACAGAGTGCCACTGAGCATTTGAGTGGCCCAAGGAAACACAGATACAGATGTGGCACTGTTTTAAAATCCTCAATAAAGGGACTGAAGAAGGAGGATGAGCCCATTAACAGAGGTACAGAATATCAGGGCTGGCAGGAACTTTGAAAGCAGCTAGAGTCATCTTACTCTTTTCACATCTGGAAAAACTGAAGTGATCTGTCTTTTGGCTTTCTTTCTTGTTTGCCTCAAGTGATTGCAATGGTCTGTCCGATCTGAGGCAGTAAATCTCCATCTGGCCAGCACCCTGAATGATTCAGCTTTCAGCTGGACTCTCAGAAAGAAGAATTTCTTACTAGTAAGATGGGAACCAGAAATGCATTTATTCAACAGTTATTCTGGAGCACCTACTCTGTCACAACAGGAGATGCAAACAATACAAATTCAAGCCCTTTAGAAACACATACACAATACCATATATAAGACCTGTTTCATTAAACTATAGGTAAAGTCAAACGAGTATATTTTCATTCCTTGAGTTAAAACTAAAGGTTCAAAACAAGGCAGAAGAGAAAAGAAACCTGTCTCAGTCTTTCCTAGCTGCTATAACAGAATACCTGAGATTAAATTATTTATTAACAACAGTGAAATGAGATTCATTTCAAAGATTTTTGACTCCTTCAATTTTTCTACTACTTTCATGGCTCTGAAAGCCACTATTAAACACAGTTTACACAGTTCTAGAGCTTGGGAAGTCCCAGATCAAGATGGCTGATTTGGCATCTGTTGACAACCTGTTTCCCTTTGCTCACATAATAGAAGGAGCAAAGGATTTTTTTTTTTAATAAGGGCACTAATCCTGTTAAAGGATTAGTTATGATCTCATATTAATTACTACAGTTCTGGCCTTATGACCTAATCACCCCCTAAAAGATTCCACCTCTTCATACTGTCATTTTGGAAGTTAAAACTTCAACACATGAACTTTAGGGGATATAAACATTTAGTTCATTGCAAACCATAGGACATTTCCATATGTGGCACTTAAAACAAGGGCAGGACTTACCTTTCTAGCTTACCTAGCAGACTAATTCTCCAACTAGTCCTAGAAAAATAGAAGCAAACACACACATTCACACAAGATAAAAAAAAAAATTTTTTTTTTTGGTTTTGATTTTTTTTGAGACAGGGTCTCACTATGTAGTTGAGACTGACCTGGAACTCACTATGTAGCCCAGGCTGGTCTCAAATTCACATCGATCCTCCTGCCTCAGCCTCCCGAGTGCTGGAATTACAGGCATGCGCCACCACACCCAGCTCAAAATCAAATTTAACAGCTTTAGGCCGGGCATCGTGGTGCATACCTGTAATCCCAGCACTCGGGAGGCTGAGGCAGGAGGATCGTTCTGAGTTCCAGACCAGCCTGGGCTACATAGTGAGTTCCAGGTCAGTCTCAACTATACAGGAGACCCTGTGTCAAAAAAAAAACAAACAAAAAAAATTTTTTTAATGGCCTTGAAGAACCATGCAAGTAGTCAAAACTTTGGAAAAATCTTTGAAAGAACAAAAATGAATCAAATCCAGGTAGAGAGGATAAGGGACTGAGCAGAAAGTGTCTATGCTCGCAAGCACAAAGACCTGAGTTTGATCCCCGGTACCCCCCAAAAAAGAAAGTGGCTATGAAGATACACAAAAGCACATGTAGAAACAAAATTTGGAGTTCAAACAAAACTATCAAGGGAGCCTTAATGAGTGAAGCCAAGATCCTAGAATGACGAAAAACCCAGGAAAATAGGCCTGCTAGTTCAAACTGCTTTTCCTTCTGAGATGGTCATCATTTTTTTCTGGCCCAAGAGATAAAGAAGCTGATCCAAAAGTATCTGCTAAGAAGCTGAAACACTAAGCAGAACTGTTGGCGCTTATCCTAAGGTCACTGCATTTCATTCTCTTCCTCTAAGACATCTTAACAAGCTGTGCACATTCTCCTATCTTCAACTAAGTCTGCGAATGACAAGGTAAGAGCTCCTGGAACCAGGAACAGCGTAAAGGAGACTGCAGAGATTCTCATCCACCTCCGCTGGCAGCACTGAAACCCTGAGAACGAAGGAAAAGCTCTGAACGTGACAACTGCCGCCATGGAGAGGGAGCCATTCGCTCCCCTGTAGCTGGGCTCAGGGCTGGCTTTGCTCTGACACATTTGTAAGGTTTGCACATTTCCGGGTTAAAAAGAAAGGAGAGGGGTTTTGCCCTGTCTGCCTCTTCCCCATAATTACTTCTAGCAGTGAAGCAGTTAATGCAGTATTCCTCCTCTTGGCTAAGAGTTTTCATGTTTTTATTGGCACCGTTTTATCCCTGGAGACAATAGCAGACTGTTTCTGGTGTGCGCAGAAGGATCTTGTTCTGGCAGGCAGGCTTCCAGGCAACAAGCTTCACATCCTCTGCAAAGAACATGCGTGTGCCTTGTTCGAACCTGACTTTCAAGTATCTTTCATAAAGACAGTCATCCTGATCATCCTGCAAGGCATTAGAAACGCGTACAAAACTGAAACCAAAAATACTCTTAGGGGAGCTTCAGGTTAGAAGCAAATCCAAAAGGGTCAGAAAAAGAAGCCACTCCTGAAATCCTTGGGCCCAAATGCTCAAGGCCCAGACTCTGTTCATATTATCTGATTAGCAACTTCTTTTCCTCATAACTCTGCCCTGCTCAACAGCCTTCAAACGGCTATATTGGGCAATCTTAACCGCAGCAATCAGCCCAATGAGCAGCTTTGCTGGCAGGAAGAGAAGGAATTTAAAGCAATTCAGAACTCCCCACTTGGGCCTGAGGGTCCATCAACCCTCTAGCCCTCCTTACTCCCAGGCCATAATTCCTCCTCCACCGGCTGATGCTTCACTGTCCCCATACCCAAGAAGAAAGTATCATGTATAAGGCCTCTACAAGACGATTTGGGGACCAGAAATCTGAGAAAAGAGGAAAAATCTTTAAGACCCTGGTCATAAAGCACAGAGCAATTTGGTCAATCATATCTCAAAGATTATATGAAGATAGAGTTCAAAGATAAGGCAGCAAATTCTTCAAGTTTAAGGAACTTACCAGAGGTCACACAATTGGCAAATGACAACAGCTAGTTGTTGAAATCAGGGTGGGGTCGGGGGGAGAAGACAACTCTCACATGCACAGAAATGCCAAATAAGTTATGGAGGTACTGTTTCCTCAAAGAGGTAAAACCCCCACTTCAAATGGGAGCTTTGCATTAGGACTTCCTTCCACAGGCTGGGAGGGTAACTCGGCGCCAGGGTGCTTGCCTGGCATCTGTGAGCCCCTAGGTTCAGGTCTCAGCACCACAAAAAATGTTTAAAAATAGCTGGGCGTGGTGGCGCCCACGTGTAATCCCAGCACTCAGGAGGCTGAGCCAGGAGGACTGCTGCGAGTTCAAGACCAGCCTGGGCTACATAGTGAGTTCCAGGTCAGTCTCAACTACAGAGTGAGACCCAGACTCAAAGAGCAAACAAACAAACAAAAAGTTTAAAAACAAAAATTCCTTCAAAAGGTTGCAGTGAGGAACAGGGAATGATGTCACAGGGGAGAAACCTGATAAGCACTACCTCAGGGAAGTAATCAAGGTCAATATCAACAGTGATCTTTCACGTTGATGGTTTGAACCCGTTGGATGTGATAAGAATGGCACTGTATTTCTGTGGTCTTCCGCCTGAAAAAGCAAAACCTCAGTTTAATTATGAGGTAAACATCAGACACATTCCAACTGGGGGACATCCTTCACAACACCTGCCCAGTACTCATTGAAATTGTCAAGCTCATCAAAGACTAATTTCTCACCAAAGCCTAAGAAACTGTGTAACAGCCAAGAGAAGCTGAAGAAGACATGATGGTCAAATGTGGTTACTCAGAGGGGGAA